ATATTGACAAAGAAATCATTAAAAGCCTCAGATTTCAATTTATCGTCTGAAATGACAGAATTATCCGTTTTAAGTTGGGATATTTGATTTCACATTTTTACCCATGAGGTGGTTAATTAAATTCCAACTTTGCTTTATGTCTTTGGACTGAGCACAATCTTCTATTTTATTGCAGAAATAGTTTCTTTTAGCTTTAATTAGTTCAGCATTAACTTTGTTTCGTAATTCCTTATATTTTGTCCAATGACTTTGAGAATTATATCTAACCGCTTTTATTTTGTGGAAGTCTCTTGATCTCATTATACCCTTGATGTCTGAAGAAATCCAAGGAGAGAATTTCCACGAGTTCTCATACGTCTAAGGGGAGCGTGTCGATCAAGGACCTGGAGGTATAGTGATTTCCATACCTGCCAGCATACATTAGAATTGTCATGTTGGGCAATGTTCTCCCACGGCATCTGTGAAAGATCCGTAAGAAAATCATTGGCATTGAAATTTTTAAAGTTACGAATATGTTTAACCTTTTCCCGTGATTTGGGAATACAATGTTTTCTAACAGCGAAAATCATACTGTGATCAGAAAGTCCAAGGTGTATGACACCAGACTTTGAAATATTTTCCTCTTTATTTGTCAGAATTAGATCAATTAGAGTTGCTGATGTTCCAGTAATCCTTGTGGGTTCATCAATAAGCTGATCGAACTGATAAAGTGATGAAAGGAACTGTAGCTTGCGAGTATGAGACTCACAAGGAGATTTCAAGATATCACAGTTCAAATCACCCATAATTATTACCTCTCTATTTTCTATATCGCTATTTCTTAAAAAAGCCTCATATTCATCAAAAAGAGCAGATTGCGAGTTAGGAGCTCTATACCAAATGCTTACTAAAAATGACTTATTGTGAGGTTTACTAATTTCAATGCATATCATTTCTAGTGAGTCAGTTACTAAGTCATTTCGTTCAGAAAACGGTATAGAGTCACGAACATACAATAGTACTCCCCCACCAAATCTAGATCGGTCATGGCGAATGTGAAAGTAACCAGCGATTGCTATTTCACTGTCAGGCACCAGATGGTTTAATTTTGTCTCGTTTATAGCAAGAATATCAACTGGCATGTTTTGCATGATCAAGCGAAGCTGATCAATGTTTTTCAACAGGCTGTTAATGTTCAAGCACGCTAATCGTAAGCCTTTAGAAGACTCTAACTCATTAAATAAATTGTTAAAGTTACCTTGTATGGGGTCACACCGATTACCTATTTGGTTCGTTGTCTCCGAGAAGATGACTGTCCGATACATTGAGTCCGATATTATTTCCTTCTGCGGGTGCGGGTGCCCTTGTCTGGAGGGACAATTATCTTTAACAGTTCTCCATGTTTCAGAATTGCCGATCGCTGAAAATCCTCGTAGTTTTGCCTTCGTTTACTTGGAGAGGTTGATGCACTGCCCCCCTTGAGAAATTTGATAAAATGGACTGCTAGAATAGCCGAGCCCTTCGCATTTAGATGAAGCTTACTTCCATTTAGGCATGTGTCATCTATAGTCGTATTGTCAATAAACGAGACATCCAGTTGCATACAAGTATGCTGAAGCTCCTTATTAACCTCATCAATCTTTTCAGACATAGCAACATCTCGCCGCGCCGTTAGGCCTGATAGACCAATTTTCGAGTAGGGAAATTGTGACTTTACTTTCGCAGCAAGCTTCTCAATTTTCTGAGCACATTCAGAAGCAGATTCTAGAGGCAGGTTGTTTGTCCCAGCATGTACAATTACGTGAGATGGGATTGCTTTTAGACTATCGAAATTGATCTCCTTTTCGATTTCTTCGGCGGTTTTTCCTGGGAATGTGTACTTATGTACCTTCTTCCTACTGAGCTTCCTTGGTTGAATATTTTTAATTATTGAGTCGCCAATAACAATGATATCCGAACTGTGAGATATAAAAAAGCTCAAATATCACTTGCGAAATTAACGTTTTAACTTGTTTTCGAACGCGTCCGAAAATAATTGCGAAAAAATTTTTAAAACTGCCTACAATTTCCAAGTCAACGTTTTTTGTTCATTTTATGACTGACTTCTTCCACACAGAAAGTTTGAAGGAAATCTGTAATCTTAAGAAATTCGAGTGGTCGGTTTTTACACGGACTACCTTTTAATATAGCTATATATTTTAGTAAACACGAGTCATATTTAGCCCGTTATTCCATTCTGAGCGTATGGCCGCGAAACGTAGCCTACTTCATTGTTTCGACAGCATTAGAGCAAAACTAATGACTTAATTATCAATGCAAAGGAAATTTCCATAACATTTTCATTTACAAATGAGATATGCTTGGTAACCAGGCCAGGGACCACTTTTTTGAAATCAGGGACCATTTTACCGAAATCTGCTAGGCTCTCTCGCTTAAGCGTTCCGCACAACAAACCCAGGCATAAAACTTTTAAGACTTATTTAAATATATCAAAGCAGCGAATAGAAAGAGAGCCTGGGACTAGGCTGCTAAGAACCTTTTATTTTATGCACATTTGATCAAAGTCGTGAGCACATTAGTGTCCAGTTTCAGAACAGCTTGTCCACTTTTTGGACAGCAATTCATGTGCAGTAAATGATCGTGATTTGAAACACAGGCCATGTAAGCTAAATTTTAATGTTAATAAAATGTTGAACTTTAATCACATTTTAATGTAAATATATATCTACAAAAGTTTACTTATGGTTAGTAATGCTATTTTTTCTGCTATTCGGTCGATCGCATATCGAATTTTTAAAAGCACACCATCCAGACCTTTGCCTTGGCTTGGCTTTGTATTGCATATACTTTGTATTGCACTAGAATCCTGTAGTAGCGTAAAATAATCTACTATACAATAAATTATCTTTTTTTATTTCTCTGAGCGTTTTTTGCAATGAAAAACAACGAGTTTCTACGTTTTTGCATAATAGTCCGATAACAGATCGTCAGTTTCCCGATACTGGACAAGGCGAGAAAAAATGGCATAAATATTCAAAATTTCATTACGTCGTAAATATTTGAAAAATGGCGCAATTTTTTGTTTGTTTTTCTTTTGGAATTGGATAAAAAAAGGTGGTTGCAGGTATTCAGATCCTGGAATGCTGTGAAATGGCCCTGCTGATCTGTTGGGACATCTTATTGGGTGAATATCAAATAGTGTGTGGAGTGAAATGAAATGAAATTTCGATTCAGTGTGACTGATAGAGTTGGAATGGTGTGGATACTGATGATTCTAGTGAATTATGTTATGATGATGCATGGACTGTGATGATATTGGTGAAGCTTGATTTATAATGTAGACAAACAGTGAGGATACTGGTGATATAAATTGTAAAATGGTATAAGTGATACCAAAGTCTGAACATTTAATTAAGCTGAATTGATACATGAATAGTAAAACTGCGTTGTGTATGACTTGATTGATTGTTCTTGTGATGATCACGCAGGCATAACCCGGGTGCGTTAATTTGATGTATTCTGATATTGCCAAGACCTAGGTGAATGCCAGTGTATCGCCACCCAGGCCAAGTCCCATGTGTTTTGTGTTCAAAACCAAGCTAAGGTTATGTTCTCATTCATTTCTGTTCCCGTTTGAATTATACATGTGTGACATGTGCTTGCGCGAAAAGATCTGTTCAATTATTTCGCTTAGGAACAGTGTGAAAATTGGTTGAATTTAGTATGTGTTCTGTGTAATTGGTGAAAATTATAAGAATCCCACGCGTAATGTGGTAATTTGTGGTTACGGACTGTAAAAAAATGCAATTTACTACTGATAGATGTCGTGGAGTGTACTTTGCGTGTAGGCAAGGCGAACAGGAATTCTTAGTGGGCGAAGGGTTCTAGAATTACGTCGGGGGGGGGGGAAGAGATGTGAGGGGTTGGGATGGGATTAGGGGTTGGGATGGGATTATTTCAATTGAAATTCATTGCATTTTCCTTGCTGGGTTTCTAAGAATTTAGTTCTTCAAGTGCAACACTACATTTACCGCACCGTAAACTACCCAATTTTAGAAAAATTATTTTTGACTTACCTTCACTAAAAATTGTAAAGCTCCAAGAAAAACCGTTAAAAAAGGCGCCAAAACCACAAAATCTTCGCAACCCATCGGGGAATCGTCGGAACCTACCGTTCTAATATTTTATTTTTGTTTACAAAGAAAAATTTTGCGATGAAATTGAACTGTCCTGGTACTGGCACTGTCCCGAGACTGGACAACATACTGGGGCCGGTTGTATAAAAACGTAGTTAGCGCTAACTGTAGTTAGCGTTAATCACTGTAGTTAAATCCTTAACTGTAATTAGTTAACTACACGACTTAACTGCGTTGCACAAAACGTAGTTAGTCGGATAGTTAACTAATCACGTAGTTAACTGTGCGTGGGGCTTGCGTGGGGCGTTTAAACACAAAATTACATAAAGTAAGCAGCGAATAACGACCGCTGACACACATTTTCAACATGATTGTGGACTCGTATTTTTCAAATAGGCGGGAATTTTATTCAAAACACTAGAAAACAGTGAAAAATAAACAAAAAACAAGGATCCGACCGCCACAAAAATCATAAAAGAATGCAGTTTTCCTTGAGATGTCTACGTTAAACTAAAGTATAGCTGTTTGGCAATTATATATCAGTGTTTCTTGGTGTAATGGACCATACTTCGTCTTCGAGAAATCGTCCTGTGCAAAAATATGTTCTGTTTTCGTAAAAACACCAAAGCGATAGCGTTTGAAGAGTTTATATTGTCAGGAAACATTCACAGGGAAGATAGCGATTGAAAATCTCAGGTAAACGTTGCTTTTCATTATTGTTTAACTGAAAAATGTTGTTCACTCCTATACAAACGCCATTTTTAACTACATTTTGGACAGTTAACTATACCCTAAAGTATAGTTAACTTTAACTACTTTTTAACTGCAGTTAAGGCTAACTACACTTTTATACAACCGGCTTAACTACGTGATTAAAGTTAACTACTTTTTAACTACTTTTTAACTGCAGTTAGCGCTAACTACGTTTTTATACAACCGGCCCCTGTACTTTAGTAAAGTAAGCCTGTTGAGCTAGTGCTGTCTGTTGCTTTGACAGCGACAATACTTGTTTACTTGACTATGCTTTTTATTCTTTACACGAACGTATATTAAAATATAATTATTTAATATTTGAATGAATGTAATTAAAACCAATAAATTTATCTTTTATATTGTTTTTAAAAGGCTATTTAATAAAGGAAATGGAAAACATTTTTTCCGTGTTTCTATAAAGTGTATAGAAACACTTGTGGACGTTTGGGAGAAACTCGAAATTGCGTGGAAACACTCGCACTTTGTGCTCGTGTTCCCACGCAATTTCCCGTTTCTCCCAAATTTCCACGCGTGTTTCTATAACTCTATAGAAACACAGAAAATTTTTTCTATTTCTTAAATAGACGTTATTCACCGTTTTATCGTGCGCTAATTAACACTGATGTAGAGCAAGAGTGCCAAAGAAGCCGCCTTATTTCAAATTCGCTGTTTATACGAGTCGTTCTTGACCAATTTATAGCCGCTGTCTGTTTGTAAGTAACGACATATTTTGGCTCGCATTGAAGGACCCACAACATATGATGCAAGCAAAACACACAGAACTAGAGAAGTGCGAAAGAATTTCAGATTTATTCAGATTTATTCTTTTATCCCATACCTATGTTAAAAGCGGCTTTCTGATTGGTTTAAAAGCGGCTTTCTGTGAGCTTGTCGTCGAGCTCACCTGCTTTTTGCCGAACTCACCTGCTTTTCGCCCGAGCTCACCCGCTAAACTGCTTACGTTGCAATAACAATAACAAATATGGCGGACAAGATTTAGGCGATAAACCTAAACTTTAAAGAACTTTTTTCGGTGACTAACATACTGAGACTGAAGAAAAACCAAAGAAAAAATGCAGTAAAGGTAATGTAGACGTAGATAAAGAAGTATTTTCTTGCCCAGTGATTTTTTTGGCCGGGAAAATGTTCACAAAACATCGACGAATATATCGCGAAGAGCTACAAATGTGTGTATGGCTCGGTGTATGGGATAAAGACCAAACGTACTTGCAGGTTCGGTGAGTCCGGGATTGGACGCACCTCGGGTGGCTGGAAGTTTCCCGAACTCACCTCGCTTCGCTCGGTAAGTTCGTTAAACTTCCAGCCACCCTCGGTGCGTCCAATCCCGGACTCACCTCCCTGCAAGTACGTTTGTTATATTATCTCATACCTGAAGTATTAGCGGCTTTCCCATTGGTTACGAGGAGGTGCGTTCAATATCGAACCCACCTACTGACGCATGATTAGGAGGTGGGTTCGTGATCGATGTTTCGGCGGCGGACATTATGAAGCGATCTGAACAAATTTCAGACGAAGATTTAAATAAAAAATAAATTTAACTGTTTTTAGTTGTTTGATAATTATTATTTTTATATTTTGTTTGATGAAACTGGAATATTCTGTATTCAAAGTGGAAGAGAAGAAAGATGGCCGCCGAAATTTGTTCGGTACGGGCAGGTTTACATAAATCTGGTAATGTTTTCGAAGAATGTGTCCATTTTCTCTTTTCAAGATAGAATAAGGGAATATTGTAGAGAATTTTTTTAGCTTTAATTTAAGCCTAAGTTTGTTTGTTTGCGTAGTATGTTGACGGCTAAAATATACTTTCAAACCAAAACTGGTTTAAACGTAGGCTTACTAAAAAATAGGTACGCCAGGCGTACATGTATCTGCGCATAGCGCCACAATGAAAGGTCCGACTTACTTAGATTGTAAAGGCGGTTTTCCACGAGGCGAAATTTTTCGACCGACTCGAAATTTTCTTTTGTCTTAAAAGCACTCAGATGGAACTAAACTGAAATCTTTTGAATTTGAACAATAGAAATTTCGGTTCAATCGAAAAATTTCGCCTAGTGGAAAACCGCCTTAACAGTAATAGACAACTTTCGTTTACATGTCAATTAAAAATTGACCATTTCAGAGCACATGTCATAACAGATTCTTTGTTCGCTACTAGCTAAAGAAATAATCTGTTAATCGCAGGTTGTCTGAATTGGCCAATTTATATCTAATTGTCATGGAGGCGAATTTTGTCTGTTTCATTTGTTATGTTGACATTTGGATATAACTTCTAAATTTGTTGACATTGGAAATAACTTTCAAGTACAGTATATCCAAAAAATTTCCCTGTTACATTGTTTTTATTTAAGTTGCAAATTTTTATATTAGGTAACATAACTATTATATCTTTGTTGCTTAATTAATTAAAACTTTCTGATCTAAATAACAAATTAAGTCACTTAAATTAGCTCAACACCAAATTTGCAATGCATATTTGTTTTAATATTGGTTTCTGTATTGCCTACAAATATCTTACATGTAACATGTTAAATTAGTTTTTAACAAATGTTCATAATTTGGAAAGTAGAAATATTGGTGTTGCCACTTTAAGTGGCTCTGGAATGCAGCTGGGTAGTCATTTAGATCAGACAATTTAACAACAAAAAATATAATTTTATACAATGGTCACAGAATACTATACAGAAGTCCATCTCCATTGTTTTTTGCGTAAGTGCTATTCGTCATGATTCGTCGCTTAGCAACCACCCCCCTGGACATGTGCCATTTTAAATATTTCCTGTTTCTGTTTACGGTACTTGCTGAGCGACGAATCATGACAAATAGTGCTTATGCGAAAGACAATGGAGATGGATTTCTGTATAGCATTCTGTGCAATGGTGCTGCAATCTCGATTGTGATTGGCTAAGAACCTACTACTAGATAATCCTCAATGTTTTATTGGCACGTACTCAATGCGACTCAATGGGTTACATATTTACTTTACAGAATGTAAAAATTCACAACTTAGATAAAAGTTAACAAAGTAATGTCACAAAGTGAGATGGGGAGCATGTTGAGTCACATTGGAATAACTTTAACACATTAATTGAGTGACAGCACTCTCCCCCTGACGAATAAAATTGTCTGGCGTTAGACAAAGTAAAATAATCTGTCGTTAGACGGAGTAAAAAATGGAGTAGGCCGCATTGCCACTTAACGGGTTAATAAAGTACATGGGCAGATAATTATAAGTAATAACATGGCTAGAGGGAAATTAGCGATTAAATTTCCCGACGCCGATGGAAGATTTGTGAAAGTGCGAGGGCGAAGCCCGAGGACTTTCACAAATCTTCCCGAAGCGAAGGGAAATTTAATCGCTAATTTTTCGATTAGTCATGTTATTAGTTTGTGATATTATGATCGCCCCGGAAAACTCAAAAAAGTTTGCTGCAGAGATAAGTTTAGCTGTTTGATTTTGTATTTTTCAATGAAGTTTTTTATGAGTTTGACTACACAGCAAAAAATCATTTTCTTGTTAAGAAAAAAATTTCTTAATTTCAGAAAAAAAATCTTAAATCGAAAACAATTTTCTTAGTAAGAAAACATTTTCTTGAAATAAGAAATTTTTGAATCCCAAGATATCTTTTTCTTAAAATAAGAAAAAAAATTCTTAATAAGAAAACATTTTCTTAAAATAAGAAAATACGATTTTCTTACTTTCTTAATAAGAAAACATTTTCTTAAAATAAGAAAATACGATTTTCTTACTTTCTTAATAAGAAAACATTTTCTTAAAATAAGAAAATACGATTTTCTTACTTTAAGAATATGTTCGTAAGACAAGAAATGAAATTCTTAAAATACAAAGTTATAAAATAGTAAGACATTATTACTTAAATTTTCGAAGCAAGAAAATGTAAAATGCTAGTGTTATAGGACAACTTATATCTTAACAAGACTTAGAACAACGTATATCTTATTGCGTCAGGTAAATTTGTAGTTTTTATTTCTAATTGAAAAGACTATATGACCAGCAGCTCACGGTTGATCAAACACTAAATGGTCGGCAGTACATTGACTATATAGTTAAAGTTGAATCTTCAGTAATCAGTATAAGATAGATAAACCGATCCCCAACCCCAAACCCTTCTCTAACCCTAACCTCTAACCCTAACAACCTTTTGAGAGTTAGACCGGCTGCCGGTAATATAGTCACTTTGTTTTTATTTCGTTTCCAAAATTTGAGCTCGTTTCAGTTTTATTGAATCGTTCAAGAGAATTTTTGCACTCCGGAATTTTTATCCAAGCAGGAATAGTTCGCCATAGTTCGCGTATTCACTAAACGCCTGGTACCTAGTTTACCTTTTAGAACGCGGAGCATCGCGGGATAGCGTCGTTTTACATTTTTGTGAAAAATTTTATATAAATATCCATGAGCGCCTTCAAGGGCGATTTAAATGGCAAATAACGATTGGAAAAGCATCAGAAAGTCCTTAAAATGTTGTTCAGATACCACAGGTAAGAATAACTGTATATTTGACTTGTTATTTAAACAGATTCATTGCGAAATAATGTAGTGATTGTTGAAACAACCTGTAGCGTTTAAGAAACCTTTTGCTTATTCTCTTGTATGGATATTTGCCGATTCGTATAAAAGTTAAACTTTATTCAAATCCTATTAAAGAGATATCAATTACATATATTCCGTAATAATAATATAGTTATCAATATAAACAAATACCAGTGTGTATATAAAGCGATACTCCATTCCAATATAAACTTACAAGTTGCACAATCCTGAATAATAATAACCCAATTGTCCCGCAACCATTCACCGTCACCTTAAACTATAAATAATGTAATATTTCCAACGTATTTTGTCCTTATATTTGTCCTGATTACATTTTAAACACATCAACAACTCGTGGTGTTTTCCGCTTAATTCACATCGTTCAAAATCCGATTTAGTTTCCAGTCCTACTAAACTGTAACGCAACGTTTCACCCTCCCGCGCCACGGTTACAACTCTACCTCGGTCTCGCCAGCGCCGTGTTTGTTATCTCTTATTCGTCCCCCTCAACTGGATGGATGACAGCAATTTTCGTGATAGGTCGTGAATATTCACCCGTGGCTGTACGGACCTTTACATTTCGGATTCTTCCATCTGCACCTGGGTAAACTTCTGTGACACGAG